ATTACACAAAAATCAAGTCGTTTTTTCACTATTTAAAAACTAAATCAACACGTATCGTTGGAAACAGTATGTTTAATTTAATAATTTCCGACAACATAGCTTGAAAATATTCCGAATTCGCAAGCAGACTTCATTCTTTATAACACTTATTATGTTAGTTATATTTATTAGTGCTTTATTTATTACCGCGTAGGATTACTTCTGATGATATAAAACTATGTTTTATAAGAATACAAATCACATATACGAATATTACAGGAACACAACTTTACATTTTATGCAATATTTCTTGGACATTTTTATAAATTTTCATCCGCGAGGCATCCCTGTGATAAACCGAACGCCGAGACAGTTCAAGGGAGTCTGACAAATTTTGCTTAGAACGTGGCACATGTATTAGGTGGATGTATATGTATGTGTGTGTGTTCCCAAGCGAGCACATGTCACGTGTCCTTCAAAAGGGCTAGAGGTAGCAGTAGTGGGATTGGGTATTGTCGTGGGTACTGCCGATGCTGCACTCATATGCCGTAATCATCAATAGAGGGTAGTCCAGGAAAAATTCTCCATAGGGGGACTGGACCCTTGCGCTATGGATTAAACATCTGTCCTATATAGGACTCTACCACTGACATTATATACATATATGTATATACTTGTTTTACTAGTTTGAATGAAATATATTTTTTCCTATTTTATTATAGAGTTTATCTGGATAGATAGAGTTAATTGAATTCATAGTTATAACCAAAGTCGCTGATTCATACTTTATATATAACTATTTATATTAAACAATTATACTTGCGTTGTAAAACCCTTACCCATCTTACTATCTTCGAACTTTGGTGTATAATAATTATATGGTATTGTATATTATTTAGATAGTACAAACGATCTACATTTTTGGAAAAAAATATATTATTTTAGTTGTTTATTTTTCAATTTAAATGTTTTAAATAACACAAAAAATTGAATTATTAGATTAAGAAATTGAATTTTTGCTGACAACCAATATTGCAAATGATTAATTATTTTAGAAAATGTTTGTTTTTCTCAGGCATCTTTAAAATATTAGAAATTAAGTTGAATTGAAAAATGTGTACTTAATATTATTACTAATATGTGCTATAATATACATGTAGGGTGTTCGAAAATTCAAATATAAATAAACTTTCAGAGATTGTTGGGAGCACCAAAAGGATCATTTTTTTACAAATGGATCTAGGGTCGGAAACGTGCCGTTACACCGCGCTACGGCAGACTGCAGTGTTTGAAATGTAAGTTTTATAAAAAATTGTTTCACATAAAAATTGTAAAGTCCCTACAACTTTTGTCTGAAACAATTTTTTATAAAACTTATATTTTTTGAAATATTTCGAGGTCCGACCTTTTTCATAAACACTGCAGTCTGCCGTAGTGCGGTGTAATGACACGTTTCCTATTGATCCATTTGCAATAAACGTATTCTTTTGGTGCCCCTGACAATCTCTGAAAGTTTGTTGATTAAATTTTTGAATGTTCTGTATATAAGCTCTTTGATTAGACTTCATTAAAACAGGAGTTTAATTCAAAGTAATTCTAAAGACATTTAAAGAACAATTTTAAATAATTACAAAGACGCATGCAATTAATTTTTTCCTTAAAGAAAGTTAATTCTAAATTGGTGAAAAGATTTGTATAAACAAAAGTACGGACAATCTTTATATGCGTGAATCTCATAATCTGCTTTAATGGTTTCTTACTTTTCGTTGTGTTCATAATTATATACTAGAGAAAAGAATGTAAAAATTATATTTTCGGTTTATTTAAAAATGCATCGTTATTCTTTTTAAAGGAACTAGTACATAACAGGCGCGCGCTTGGCGCGCGCTGCGTATTGAATCCCATACATCTTCCAATAACATTTATACCAATTTACATTTTAATTAAACACATTTTAACAATTTTCAATAAAATGACGCTTTAATCGGCCATATTGAAACGGCCATTTTTAAATAAAATCACGATTTTTTAGAAAATAGCCACATAATTCATCTTTAAGATAAGCTCAGAAAGAAGTTTATATCTTTATTTTTCTGGAAGATATGAATTTTTAAACATTGGAGAAAAGAGGCTTCAACGTAGGTAACACGGCAATTTTAAGATAGGATTGATAATGTTATAATATGAGACGTATAATAATATACGCATAATTTGATGTTAGTAATAATTATTATTTTATTATTATTAATACTGTTATCAATAATATTTCTGTAGAAATACTCTACTTTGTCCAACACATTTCACATCAAGATTTTCTAGATAGTATACGTTCTAGATATAAGTTATATGTTATTACGAGAAATGTTGTTCCAAGAAGAAATGCAACATTATTTCGTATCTATTATATTGTATGTCATTTGAAATTTAAAGTGTGACGACATTGTTTGTCGTTGTGTATTACTGACACATGTAAAATCACGACGGTTCCGACTCCTGATCTTAATTATTGTCAATTGCTACCAATTGTCGAGTGTGTTGTCTCTCTTGTAGTAATTTATGACTTGTATAGGGATGACATTTGCAGCTTATATCGTTATGCGTATGCAATGACGACAATATTTACAATGATAAAAAATAATTATTATTAGTATTAAATTAATGTAATTACATGCATATTATTATAGGTCTTAAAATGTCCATACTTTTGTTTATATAAATTTTCCGTTAACTTAAATTTAACATTCTCTCTGCAAAATTTGAGTGTATGACTTTATAACTGTTTAAAATTATACTTTAAATAAGAGTTAATCTTTACAATTAACTCTTAAATTAAAGTTTTAATAAAATTTAATCAGAAAAGAATTTTTAAATTTTACAGTTTTAATTAAGTCTAATTTCAAAATGTTTATAAAAGTTGAACACTTCTGTAATAATGTATGCGCATTGAAATATGATAGTTTTAGTCATGTATGTATAAAATAATATGTGCGAATCTATCTGCTTTGATTATCTACTTTAATGATTTCTTACTTTTCGTTGTGTTCATAACAATTATGTCAGAGAAAATACAAAAATTATATTTTCGGTTTATTTAAAAATGCATTCTATTTAAAGGAATGACAATGTTATAATATGTCATCTTCATGACGGCCACGACTTACGATAAGTCTTTAACATACGGGTGCTTGCGCGCGAGAATTTGCGAAAAATTTACAATTTGACGGGAGAAATGCATTGAGATTTTTAGCGGCTGTACCATTTATTCTCCATCGGCGGGATCTCGTGTGAAGAAAGCTTTAAGGGGATCATGCACAATGTATACAGGGAGCTAACAGCTGTCGATAACCCATATACATATGTATATGGCCTTCTTTGTTCTCGTTTAAGGCCCGTTCTACGTCGTATGTCGGGTCGTAAACCGTAAGAATTGACCAATCACAGTCGAATGTAAAAAGAATATTCGATTGTGACTGGTCAGTTCTTACGGTTTACGACTCGTCATATGTATTGTAGAGAACGGGCCTAATGCAGAGATCGGTTTTATCGTACAGTTTCGCGAATGACCGAACGAATGTAGATTAGATGGCAGTGCTTTAAAATTTTTACTCTTTTAATGATTATTAATTTGCTTCCTGTCTGCTAGTGGTCCATTCAAGACAAAGGTCTGGATTTCTGTCACAGTTATCATATATGTATATATAATATATCTAATTAAAAACATTGATTAAGACTTATTATGTCTTAGTCAAAGTTTGTTAACCTACATTGTTACACATGTTCCTTAGCCATTGTTACATCAGCAAAAATGTGATTAAGAAAAATTACGATTACACTGCCTGTAAGAATATTGTGCAATTTTTTCCGGAAACAAGGAATAAGGCAAAATATTGCCTTTTTGCTCTATTTTGATGTTTACACAATAGTTATATATACATATACATATTTTTTAACTTAAGGTTTTTTACTTGAATCTTTGTCGTTATTATTTTTTTTCAGCAAGAAAAGGTTTCATATCCATTATATATTTTATGTATGTCAAGTGATTTGTACAAAAAATGAAGAACGAAATAATATCTTCAATTTTACTATTTAACAATTTAACTTTATAATTTATAGGCCTTAATCTTAATTTGGATCTTAACTGGTTATTGTCAAAAAACTGATTATTTCAAGTTTGGTTGAGTAACGACTCGATCCATACCTAAGAGAATACCTTCCATTATTAATGTTGAATTCCATTAAAGATGATCCAAAATGTCGAGATCCGAAACATTCAAAGATTATAGATATAGAAGAATTATTTGCAAGTCACAAATATTGCTTTATTTAATCATTTCTTGTTAATTCTTATAATATGCATACTAAATACCCATGCCGTACTCTCATTGCTCTATTTACTATTATTAATTCTTATTACTTTTTCGTTTCGAGAGTCTTTTATAATTTTTATAATTAAAATATCTTCAAGTTTTTATTAATTGATCTGGACTACGATGAAATTGATATAGTCAAATCGTTAATAATTATATACAATTTTGTTAGTTAATACCTAACATATCTTTTAATAACGTAATAATTTCTAATAAAATAGCTATGTCAAAAATAGATAATTCGTATAATCTAGTCTTTATTGCTTTTTTCTTTACAAACAAATAGTTTAGTTGGTGAATATTCCTTTTAGCAGAATATAGTTTTTCAGAAAATTTTTTGGAATTTATAGCATGTACGGAAATAATATATTTGCTGCTTGCACACACTCTCTCTCTCTCTCTCTCTCTCTCTCTCTCTTTGTGTGTGTGTGTATTTGAAAGAGATGTTTATGATAAAATACATTTATGTGATGACAAAGGAAATGAGATCTATATTGAGATTGGGCGACATGATAAATTGAGGGTTTAGCCTTGCAATCGTTGCATCTGTATATGTGATGCCAAAAATAATTTGTGTAAAAGAGAAGACTAGACAGTTATTTCAGATAATCACGAGACAGAATAGGGATATAGGGATAATACAGTCCTTACCAGATCTTTTGCAGGCCGCGAAATATGGTCGCGCCGGTCGGAACGCGCCGATCAATAGGAAGCGGAAAGGCACATGTCCTGGTGGTTTCTTATATCATGGTGTTTATAAAATTAACATTTATAAAATTAATCATCTTCGATGGATGCCGCTCGGCGACGTCGCGCGTCATCTGCGAGCTGAATGCTGGTAGAAATTTTGGTGCAATTTCTGGTTAACTGATATAAATGTTTGACGCGATAAACTTTACTGTTGTACACGAGATTTACGTGATCAGGTAGTGCTGATATTAACGATCGGACGGGATCGTGACGACGCTGACGCGACGATGGTGATGACGGCGACAACCGCGGCGGTAACGGTGGCGACGGTGTCGGGATGGAAACGGGACACCCGACGTAAAAGCCGAGAAAAGTCGAAACACTGGCTTGCCATCGGATAGATCGTCGACCCGACCCGACGTAGTGGCTCTGGTTACGCGACGACGCACTGCGCCGACGTCAAAACGACGTCGACGTCGACGTCGACATCGTCAAGGCGACGGCGCGGGCGCGGCGCACGCCGGAATCTTCTCTCTCGTGTGTTCGTACTTGCTGATCGATTTCTCGAATCGAACAGATGTGACGAGATATATGTAGATATATCGAAAGATGCAGATTAGAATATACGATACGTGAACTGAATGGCTAGTTTCTCAGCGCGAGAATTTAGCGAGCTTATAATATAACAGCTTATAATGATTACACACACATATATATATGTATATATATATATATATATATATATATATATATAAATGTTTGTTTCAATTATTGTTTTCCTTTGCAGATTATTTGTAAAGACTGGTAGAAATTCTACATGTTAATTAGCATACGCTATTCGTTAATACATTAACACATAACATTCATTAAAACCAAATCTTTTATGTATATTCAATCTTCAATTTTGAATCATAAAATACAGATATTTTTACTCTAATTAATCTCTTTGTAGAATATGCGTATATTGAAGTAATGTACATAATGATTATCGGAGGTTTTCTGATATAATAGAGCAACGCAACATTTAATATACTAGTATTACAAACGCGCGCTTCGCGCTCATTTGTAATATTTTTTACTTTTTATTTTGCTATTATACTTTTAATCTCAATACACACAATATACATGCAACTATTAAAATATGCAATGACAGCTGTTTACGAAGTAATTAAGCTCAGCAAGAGACAATCAATCGGCATCAATGCCTTTTTGTAGAAAGGATTAATATCATTGTAATAATTAATTGATACCTTTTTAACATAAAATTTAGATTATCCCTTTTTTTTGTTAATATTCTACTAAGTTAATGACAAATTCAAGATACGAAAGTTATAAAATTCCATACGAATATACCAATTTATATGCGATAACTGGCATCATTTTGAATCCGAGACGGAGCACGTTAACCTAAGCCTACATTACTTGAAGCAAGTCATAGTGTCTCTAGGTCAGGAGGGCGCGGGTCACATTCCTTACATAAACGCTTTAAATTCTTCTTTATAGAATACTTTCAAATATACCGCATTATACGATATATTTATTTATGTTAATTTAACCTTCTATCGACATCAACAAAATATATGAGATAAAACGAAATATTTGGTATAACTTTTGGTACAAAGCAACACGCATTTAAAATATTCATAACTTTTAGCTATTAAAAATAAATGTAGACATTATCGCAATTTACAAAGTTGAATGTACAGATAATATGTATTAATTAAAGTAGATTAATATAAGTACCAAAAACTTAATTTAAGTTGCAATTAGATGATTGATATATTAGATGGTAGACTTAACATTTTTATTATAAAAAAGTTTGCTTTTTATATATAACTAAATAATGTATTCTAATGTCGATAAACTAAAATGTATACAGTCTTAAGTCGAATTATTATTTTGATAAATTTCAAATTATGATGAAAAATCAATAAATGATTTTATTACAAGTCATATTTATTTATTGTGAACAGTAAAAAGATATATTTAGAACAATTATACTTCAATATAATTATAAACATTATAATATAAGGTAACATATAATAACATAATATAGTTCATCACAATTGCGCTCGCGTGCGCGTGCGTGTGTGTATACATCATTAATAATATTAATCATTAATACAAGACAATTATCAACTTAATTTAATATATTGACTACATTTTTATGTTATGTGTTAATTTTTCTTAATTCTTACAAGAAAAAATGTTTACAATACAATGCTATATATATATATATATATATATATATATATATATATGTTATACACACACACATGTATATATGTATATTTAATATACTTAGCATATATTCATGTAACAAGAATTCATGTTTCTCAAATTTAATTTTTCGCCATACATTTTTGCTTCTAAAATTGTTAGTCGATTTCTATGAACTGCAGCCAAACAATGCCTTTTTTCTAACTTATTAAATTTCCTTACTTTAAAGTTGTATAACTTATCAACTTTTATTTGCAAAATATTTCGATGTATGAAACCTTGGATACCTTAAAAACAATTTTGCGAAATAACTCTTTTTCTTTAATGTCTTATATGTATATATACTATTAATTTTGTAATATAGATTTACCTGTATATTCGTAAACCTGGATAATATCATTTTCGACGATAACAAGCAATGTTTCGGCATATCCATCAAAATTTAGAACAAAAAATGATTTTGGTCGATGTATTTTTATAGTTTGCAAGATTCTTGTTTGTGAAACGTCATTTTTGCACAACTAGATAAAATGATATAATTTACACGCTAATTGTAAGTGTATGATTATATTAACACAATACAGAATAACAGAAGTTTTATAGGAAAAAAAATATTTCTTTGTATATTATCCTTTTGACAATTAATAGCAATTATCAAATTATAAAACAAATTACATAATAAGATATAGATTCTTTTTAACTCACATATATATAATCTTGGCTAACTTCTTCATCGTAGCGGATGTATTCTTCTTTTTCATAAATACCTACTTTAAAAGTCAGTAGGCTGCCACAATTAAGACAATTTCTTGAACGTGTGCCGTTTAAAGAACTTTTTTGTAATTCATAAGTTAAGGGTTGGTTAGCTAATACAATAGGATCGCTATTTGAAACCAAATTTAATGTCTTATTCTTGTATGAGGTGAGAGCTTTTAATATATCTGCAGTTTGATTATTTTCTGGTGCAATTTTGAGATTCTCTTGTATCAGTGCTACAAATCTAGCTTGATGTAAATTCATAATATCTGTGGCATTATCAAGTTCCAATACATGCTGTGAGAAAAAGTAATAATAAAGAAAAATTATCCGAATTTGTTTCAAGTAAAGCTACTTATAAAATTTTATAAGTAGTTTTTTTATCAAACAAATATATATATATACATGGTTTGCCCCAAAAGTAACGAGGCTAGTTTTTGCGCGCACGGCGCACGTGAGAAGGGTCAGGAAAGGAAAACGGGGGTCGAGGCGGAAGGGTATACATTTATACACCTAGGTATACATTTATACAATCTGACCATTCTCAGTTGCCACCGAGCCTTTCTAGCAGTCGATACCATCAGCAAAGTGCGTTGTAATTTTTTTTATCCTGTCACGGACGAAAATTTATCAGTCTTGAGCAGCGATCAAATTATGCGTGAAACTGGGAAAATCTGGTTCCGAAACGTTGGAGATGTTAAGAACAGCTTATGGAGATGCTGCTTTGTCTTTAGAATTTAATCGCGTAACGCTCCTCAAAATGCAGCACAGTCTTGAGCAGCGTTCGAGGCTGTGCTGAATTTTTGCCCGTGATAAGACAAAAAAATTTACAATGCACTTTGTTGACGGTATTGATTGCTAGAAAGGCTCGGAGGCAACTGAGAAGGATTAGACTGTATACCTGAGGTCCTTCCCCAATTGTTTCGACCGCCGTTTTTCTTTCCTAGTCCTAATTCTCACGTGCGCACAAAAACTAATCTATTAGTCCCATTATTTTTGGGACAAACCATGTGTATATATATATATATATATATATATATATATATATAAAACAAAATTAAAATTTTTTATTCAATATAAATTTTTGCGTGTATTATTTTTAGTTTGCATGTGTGTACGCATTACAATAAAAATAAAATTACCATTAATTTATTATTTTCCAACTTCCATATATTGTTAACACTTCTACCACATGTGCGTTTTGCGATGGTAAGCAAGTATAAAACATGATTCAATTTAAAGAACGTCCATTGATCAATCAATCCAAAATCAGACACTTCATCGATCACTTGAAAATCTGTCTGAATATACGATAGAAGTTTCATATGACAAATGTTATAGTTTACTAACATATAATCCACCTCGTTTACTTCAATATTACGGATATCATGAATATCACCATCGAATTCTTGAATTTTTAAGTAATCAAACGTATTGAATTTATATATCTGGTTTATAGCATTGTATTTGAGCATATCTAAGTGCAATGCACACACATTATTCAAATCCTCCTGTAAAAGATGAAATTATATTTAGAATATAAATAAATGAGAGCAGTGGTTTCTTGTAACAACAGTAAACGTAATAAAACGTAATAAAGTGTTATTATACATAATTGCAAAAAAATCAAAAATTTTTTTTAAGTACTGTAGTTTTCTCACATATGCTTCGTCGATAACGTCATCTATTTCAGGATGTTCTTTTGTTAAAGCCAATGATATTTTGGTAACATTAAGTTCATTCAAAAATTCACTTCCATCAATGTTCTCTTCAAAATGAACATCTCCATACACTGTCCACTTTCCAGATATAATTTGTTTTTCTTCATGCGCTGTCTTTATTGCTACTCCTTGCCAATTATTTGAGATTATGCTGTTCAAAAGACCCAAAATCCTAAGACTTTTATCGAGGACAACTGGAGTTTTGAACATAAAGTTTCCTAAATGAAAGTTACGTGAATATATTATTTAAATTATGTAATTGTCGTCGCGTTACAGTCTGAATTATGAGGGTTGTTTAAACGTATTTGTGCTGAGCGCCATGAGCAAAAGATATACAGAGATATATATATATATATATATATACATATATATATATATATATATATATATAAACAGAGTGTCCAGTAAATCGCCTGCAATACTTTGCGAGGTAATTCAGGACCCAAAAAGAAGGAAAAAAAGTAAGAATAGATCACAGGTCCGGAAATAAGTCGTTTTCGAGTTATAATCGCTTTTATGTTAAAAAAAATTGTAATTTATTTTTTATAATCATAATTACAATAACAACCATAATAATGATCATAATTAGGCATAATAATTTATTTTTCTAGGATTCATCACGTGGAGGCATAGTTCGCTTAGCATTTCGCTTTTAAAATTTTTTTTTCTCTCAATCTCAATTTTCAATAATTACATTATTTTTAGAATGAAATATAAACATAAACAGGTATTTAAATCGAATTAAATAAGAAAAAAATATTCAAAATAACCTTCAGCACGAATGTGCAGGCCCTTATTTTTCTACCCAAGGAATTCCGAATTCTTTGAAAAACATTTGGATCCTTCCGAACTATTACAATTGATATTCAATTAATCAAACTCGATTTAAATAAAAATTAAAAATAAAAAAAAATAAAAAACAGGGAGTGCCAAGCGGACTCCTCTACATGGTGAATCCTGTGTACAAAAATGAATTATTATGACTAATTATGATTATTATAATAAATTATGATTATGAAAAATAAATTACAATTTTTTTTAAACATAAAAGTGATTATAACTCGTAAATGACTTATTTCCGGACCTATGTTTATATTGGTCCTTTTTTCCTTCTTTTTGAATCCAAGATCATCTCCTGAAGTATTGCAGGCGATTTACTGGACACCTTGTATAATATTGTATATATGTATATGTTACTGAATATATTGTTGTAATGATAACATCATAGTAATGATTTTTTGTTTACTGAATAATTTATATAGTATATAAGTCTGTTTCATTGATATGTTTTCTAATTTCTTACCTATTAGAGTGCCGTTTGCAGTTAAAGAAACAATACTTGTTGGATTAAAATTATTGATTAGATGAGCGTTGAAGTCATGATATGCATAAACGTTTCCTCGTATCTTTATGTATCCTGTAATATTCTGATTACCATATATCTATAAAAGAAGTCAAATTTTATCAGCTCTTAAGTCTTATTATATATGTATAATGTTAATTTTAACATTAAATTATGTATTTGAAAAAATAAAATAGAAAATCGTAATATATAGTACTATTAAGGAAAAAAACTGAAAAGCTAGTTTTTACAGAAAAAGACATAATCTACATAATTTACATAATCTATATTAGTTTATTAAAACATTTCCATTATCTTGAATTTTATTGGCTAAATACATCTTAAATAAAAGTTTAATTTTACGTTTAATATACCATGAAGGTGTCCGTATAGATATCTTGCATATAGTAGGTGTTAATACGTCCTGATATTTGAATGTTTTTAACAATAACATTAATGCAATTAAGTTTATCGATCATGATGAACTGTCGCATATTTAATAAAATCAACAGATCCATTTGCAAGTTATTGACTTGCACGATTTTTATACTTGTTTGGAAAGTCACATTGTCGAGTGTCATCCGCGCTAAAATAAAAAACGAAATATTTTTTTTATTACGCGATAAAACTATTTACCGTAATAATGATAGTCAATTCTCTGCATACTATCATAAATGCTAAACGTTACATGGATATCTAGACTGCTGCCTGAATATTTAATTTATTAAATGATTTTTGTAACGATGCATATATTTTAGTGAGCACATATTATTACTAATTAATAACATAAATATTAATTATAACAAGTTACAATTTTACATATTATTTACAGTCAATAGTTAATTGCTGCCAAAAGGGAAATTGTAAATTCTTGTAACAAACTTTTATAAGAAAATTTCTGTGGTGGTAACTTAATATACATATACATACGTTATACGTTTTTATCCGTAAGTATCCGTACAGATAATTACCTGGAAAATATTTTGGCTTATTAACGGCGATAACATTCTCCTGCAACTCCTTTATATCAACTTTCATAATGATTTGTGATTGTAATTTAGCTTTTACTACGAGATTCTTTCGTAGATAAATATCTTCTCTGAACATGACTTTGGTATTAATTAAGAAAGGTTTATCGATGTAAATAACATTTTCATGAAATCTGTGTAAATCTAAATCGTTCAAGCTGCCATCGATGTTAAATGTATCATTAAATGTAATTGACTTTTTAAATAATTTCAATCCAGACATTGTAACATTTTCATCATTCTTAAAGATTATTGTTTTGAGAAAATTGTCCAACATTGATCCTTGACTTGACCCATTTACATTTAGTCTTGTTACGGAAGCAGTTTCAATGAAGTAAAAATGACCGCGAAGAGCATAAGACTTATCCTTAACTGTCTTAAATCTATCTGTGAAATCGCTTAGGAATACAGAATTTCCAATCTTGCCAGTGGTATTGAAATTTCTTAAAACCACGACCGAACCTTAAAAAAAAAGAAAGAAATTAATTTTTACGCAAGATACTGACTGATCGTACATATTAAAAATTAAGGACAAAAGAGGGTCAAGCGCGCGGTACTTAGTGCGCAAAAAATAAATTTTATAATACTTATAAATAATATACATAAACATGTAGACAAATTCCCAGTACAAATTTGTATTGCTGAAGATGGCTCGAACCTGAGAACCGAAATGGCTCTAGATGTTTATGTATTTATAAGTATTATTAAAATTTATTTTTTGCGCACTAAGTACCGCGCTTGACTTTCTGCGATTAGCCTCTTTTGTCCTTAAAATTAATTTTTATTACAAAAATAAATAAGAAAAGATTAGGAAAAAAAATATTAATGAATAATTAGAAAATATTACAGATAATTACAATTAAATCAATTTAAAACATATACAAAGAAGTTTTTAATCATTCTAAAATAAAATAAAATTAGCCATGATATACGTATACATATAGAGCCTGCATTAATGAAAGTATACATAAAGAGTGCATTTAATAAATATATGTATATTTTGTCAATGTTAAAACTAAAAATATATAAATATATTTCCAAGTGTCATTATAATAATACATCATATAAGGATAGAAAATAAATTTGGAAGACTATTATATGTATAATTATATGTATAAAAATACATAAAAGAATTTTTAATAATTTTTATATAAGCCATACCATTTATAATAATCGGTCCTTTGAGCATCTGCTTTTTATTTGGATTGAAAATATCGTTCACAAAATGTTCATTTATAAATTGCGCTTCTAAAATCTCACATGTGCAATTTTTGAATGTTTTGCGATTTATAAATGTAATATTTCTATCGGTTTTCTGAATAGCATCAGCGATAAACTCAGACAGGTTTAAATTGTTTATGTAACCAATTACTTTCAAATTTTTGATCAATACATTTGTATTGAAAATGACAGTCGCCATGTTATATTCCTTGTAAAGATCGATAATATTTTTGTCATTAATCGAAGACGCTGTTATCATTCCTGTCACTCGTAGAGATCTTATCGATGCGTTTCCGTTGAAAACGTCATCATAAAGTAATTTCGTGTACGTCAATAACAGATTCCATGTATTCAAAGGTATTTCATTGATAATTTCTGTATCCAAGATGCCAGTTTCCAAGTTGTCGACAATTAAAGCGCCCGTTAGATTCTGTCGCGAATGAAGTGTTAACACGCGTTTTGTCAAATTAGCATAGTTGATTCCATTGATTGTGTTCGGCATGATCTCATCGGACAGTAATGTCGAGATTGTTAAATTCTCGAAATACACTTTCTGGAAAGTTTTATTTAATTTATCAAAGAAAGCAGTCTGTGAAATAGTCTGCTTTATGGTATCAAAAGACAAATTGTCGATAATTGATGATTTACTAAACAATAGTATTTTATTTAAGCAACCAGAAGTTACAGCTTGTTCGTGGTTTATGTAATTCTTCAATTTCTGCATGGTGCCAAGAGTCACATTTCCAAATGTGACGTTTATCGACATTTTTGTCAAATCTAAAATTGATAAAGTAATGTGCTGCTGAGATAATTGCTGAGATATTTCTGTGATGCAAAATAAGTTAGCGCAACTTTATAATTATTCTTCAAATATTCGAATAAATTTAAATACATTATATATTTATTATTTATATGTTATAATTTATTTTTTTCCCCTTTTTAATTCTGTTATAAGAAGAAAATGAAAAATGTATATTAAATTCTTGGAAACTGTATTCTTGTTTTTTTTGTAACAGACAGCTTCATTATAGATAAAAGATTTTTTCATTTTAGCGATGTATGTATGTACAATCGAATAATGTTAAACACGTTCAACTTTTATTTAATCAATGTACTTACAAGGAAACTGTTGATTGGTGTTTAGTGTTACAAATTCCGAAAATATGTGACTGTTAATTTGTCTGGATTGAATTGTTGCGTTAGATTTTATGTTGACATCATTCCAGAATCTTTTATTTCCAATAATAACTGCATTTCTTTCAGTTTTCAATAAAAGATCGTCAAGATCCGGCCACGTTTTAGCATTAATTGAATCTTCGAGTACGATGTTTCCCGTGACAGTTAGATTTTCAAAAATAACACTTGACAAAAGATTGTTGGTTTCGTTAAGCATCCCCTCTACGCTGCTTACGTTAATACCCGTTACTGTTACATCACCGTCGACCTGAAATTGTGACAGAACCATATACCGTTTATACCTAATTGTGATGTATACATGTATGTACGTATGTTTAACAAATTGTACCTGGAAGATTCCATTAATTTCTAGATTTTCAAAAGTAATTTCGTGATTAATAACTTCGTGTCTGTTAAGAATAACGAAATCCTTAAAGTCTATTTCATTTATTCTCTTGATGTCTAGTAAATGTGTCGTAGACAATTTGGTGACGTACTTTTCACTTGTTACATTGATAGGAAATTTATCATTTATTAGAACATAATTTTCTGGATATTGCAAATAATTCAGATTTTTCACATTAGCTTTCTCGGCAATAAGCTGCATTAAAAAAAAATATCATCTTTTATTAAAGGAAAACATTGTAAATTATTAAGTAATGTGATTCTAGGATACACAGAATGTTAAATAAAAATGATACAATCAGCAATTCTAGTTCCATATCCTAATTTCATACACAAAACCATTTTTTTCGGAAACTATGTAAACTGATGAAATGATCAGCGATTCTAGTCCCATATATCCTAATTTCACACACAAAACCATTTTTTCGGAAACTATGTAAACATTATTTATTTTAAAAGGAAATTTGTTTTAACGTTAAGATTTTCGACATTCTGTATAATTTTTTGTAAGTATATTAAATTGTTTTACCCCTTCCATAATTGTCTCTCCTGCAGAAATAGTTGTCGAGTCATTTTTCCAAACTATACTTTGCATCAAGTCTTTCCATTTAATATTATTTATTTCGGAGAAGCTCAAGTGTCCATTAACATTTAATAGCTTTAACTTTGAGAAATTTATATTGCTATAATTTTTTATTGGAAAGTCGAACATGATTTCTTCCAATGATATGCCATTTAAAGAGAGAATTGTTAAGTTATTAGTATCGATTGAAGGAAAAGACTTCTGACCGTTAATAATGCCGCGATTTACAATGTCATCCGCTATAATCAAAGTTGATGCGTTATTAATAAAAGCGGCAATTATGTTTTTTGCATATAGAGTACCGTTCACCAGAAAATCTCCAGTTAATTCAATATCTGACGGTAAAGTAATTCTTGTCGAATTAGTCGTGTCTTTCAAATCTGGTAAGATTTGATCGAGTTTCGTTTCTAGTCCTTCTAATTTCTTTAAATTTGATGTCACGTTTATCGACATATCTTCCATTTCCAAATTGATCGAACCAGTTTTGACAACGCTATAATTAACGTGTCTTTTAATTGTTGCGTTTGATACATTTACTTTCGAAAGATACCAAAATCCTGTTATCACATTTTTAAAGTAACTTTGATCGAATCGCTTTTCAGTCTCATCAAAGATGGCTTCCTGTTTTCGAAAAACCTCCTGAAAAAATTTGTATCTTATTTTGTAAATGCTGTAAAAGAATGTTATAAAAATAATTCGGAATATCAGTACAAAAACTATATTTTACATACAGAGTGTCCCGAAATTCGCGAATCAAAATATCATAGCAAGAAAGTCTTTGAGAAATTAAGTAAAAAAGTTATTTGTAAATTTTTATTTTAAGCAATAGTTTTTGAGATATAAGAGCTAGTTTAAATTTAG